TGCACCACTTGCATAGGTTTAATACCTGTAAATAAACTGTTAATCACACAAATCACTGCAACAATAATAAAAAACATTGTTTAATGTTAATCCTTGGACCCCTCCTCTTGACGCATGGACACTCCCACGCGTCAACTGATCAAACTTGGATTCCTGTCTTAAAGAAAAAGGTTAACTAGATCATGTCCCAGGCAACATCAGGGTGTCTCCTCCGGAGTAGCTCCGTAACCCTGCAATAAAAGATGTTAGTGTGTTTGCATATTAAGTGTGCTTAACACCTGGCTCTCCCAGGAGCCTACATACACACCATCATGGCCTGGAAAACAAAATCTGGAAGTAAAATCAAACTTCACACTTGTAAACAATTGTATCATACGAGTAATAAGCATTCAACATCAGCAAGACAAGTGTCATGTGCAGGTTTTCTCAAATCAGTAAACTACAACTATTACCCTAATTTGCCTCAGACATGGATCATCCCATGTACTCAGTTAACATTAATGTAATCGGTGACTTCTCTTAAGCAAAGTCACTCCACTCATATATTATTTATGGGCTCAAGAGTGGCCAGCAAATGAGCCCATATTAACTATTCCATAACACTGCATCTCTTATTTGTTTTTCTCATGTCACTTGTCCGCTTCAGCTGAATCCTCTACATGCATTCTCAGAGAAACAAACATTAGCAACACACATTGATTATCCTGGTGGGCAGGCGTCGGCCATCCACATTCCAGAGGTGCCATAAAAACACCATAAAGTTAGCCATCCCTAGCTGTGGAAAGAATGTCATTCACATATAAACCCAGAAAACCTGTAGTAGGAAAAAACATCAACCAGTTGTCCTGGTATAAATCATCTAGTCACATGAAGAACTGTAATGCTGTAGAAAAGAAAATGCAAATGTTAGCGCTGCGCAGATGCATACACACTTTCTCACAGTTTCCTCTGTGAGCAACACATGATAGTGGATAACACCCCTGGTAAATGCACAAACACAGAAAGTGGCATTTAAATTAATTATTGTTATTATTATTATTATTAAAACCATCACGCAACCTCGAATGTTGCTGTCATCGTTCTGCTCCTGCAAAAGGAAACACACATAGATTCATCTGCACCTTTGTCAGGTGGGGGTTAACTTCACACAGT